AACAATACCGTCTCCGTTGGTTTCCAACCTCAAGCTTGAGTCGATAAATGCTACCGAACCTGACGAAGATGAAGATTTCATGATGATAAATTACAATCAAATTTGTCGATCACCCTTTTCTCTATTCCGTTGTATGGGAAATCCGTTTCGAGAGACTCGTGCCCGTAGAGAACTACCAGTCTTATACACTTAGTACGGGGCGAAGTTTACCAGCTGTGAGCTTTCATTCGCGAGTAATCGACGTCTAAAGCCATTGTTTACAAAAGCAATTCGGCCCTTTTGAAATGTTCACACCGCATTACTCAATTACGAATGTCCGTCATTGCTAAATTTAATGCGGCATGAAATCGCCAATTCAAACTCATCCATCTTCACAAAATAGTTGTTCTCAAGGGAAGCATTGAACCAACTTCCTTAGGATCCACTTTTATTCCACTCACGGATTTTCTTTCTCAACGAATCACGAAGAATGTTCACATGGTTTCTTACGGATCTTCATCATTTTTACTCCCTAAAAAAGAGTGGAATTAACAGTACATGAACGGCGGCTCCTGGTTTACTGATAGTAAGTATCCGGTCGGCGGAAAGAGAACAGCTTCCTGTAGCGCTTGTGGTGGTATCTTTGCACCAGCGGGAAGCGGATCTTCGAGTCGTGGAACTGCTTGATGTGAGCACGACGGGTATTGGAGGCCTCAACCGATTCGACCTTGATGATCTGTTGGGAAAACATTCGCATCAGTGATTCTTTCCGGGGCAATACTACCAAAAAGCAACTCACCTGAATGGAGTGGGCACGAGCACGGTGGCGCGAAGCCATATCGCTATAGCACTGCGTGACAGCACCGCCAACGGTCAGATCACGATACTCGCGGTACATGTTGTGGGTACGGGACGTGAATCGTAGCGCAGCCAGATGCCGAAGTTCTTCACGCGCAGCGGAGTTTTCTCCAGGATACGCTTGACCGAGACAATCTCACCGGTGGCCTTCTTGAACTTACGCAGCTGCCGCAGGAAGTACCAGAAACGGGACTTGGCCACGATCTGGTCCGGTGCGAAGATGTGCATCAATTCCGCCATGTATCACGCACAGACTGTCGTTTGCTTATTGGATTTTACAGGATTTTACCATAGGAGTAAAGAGCTATACCTGTATACAGAGTCACCGTCAACGCCAATAAACAACGACGATCGCAGGGGGATCTGTCATTTTCAGCGATGTGGAAGTCATGGTTGCCAGTAAACATTGTATGTTGCCGCTTGACGTTTTGACAGCTCATTCGACACAGAAACATCCTGAAACACCCAAAAACACACAAGAAACACAATCAGCACAGTCACAAAGTGGCAGAGTTACTTACCCCCTGGGGTGGCCGTTAAGTGTGCCCTCAACAATTTTACATTAACGGTTTACAAAAAAAATGCACTTTTATTAGAAAAACCCAACAGGTGGTCGTGGTAGGTACATAAGACGATTGACACTACCATAGAAGTAAGGTATGTAACATTAATCTATGTTTTGATTGATGAAAAAATGAAACAGGAACAAGAAAGTGTGCCTGTTGTATAGGTAGAGTATTCTGGAAGCTTTAAAATCACAATATGTTTACATATGTTACATACGACCTATTCAAAAACTACAAGGGACAGCCCTATAGGGTTGTACCAACAATCAATACGAAACTAACGATTTTAAATTGGCTCACCACTTTAGTAGCCTATTGGTCCCAAGCAAACGATTAACGTACCCTATTCTAGTCGAAATTCTAGTAATACGCAATGTTTGTTTTGATTCGCTATGAAAGTTTGACAGATAAAATGAGGGGTTATTGGTTTTACCTATGTTTCGAGGGGTGATTCGACAAGCTTGGGACCGAAGATAGTACCAGAGGTGAGCCAAAAAGTTGAGCACGTTTCTTCGGGACCTACTTGTCTTAGAGTTACCTCTATGGTTGTACGCAATGGAGACGTAGAACCAACAATCAATACGAAACTAACGATTTTAAATTGGCTCACTACTTGACTAGCCTAATGGTCCCAAGCAAACGATTAACGTATCCCATTCTAGTTGAAATTCTAGTACTACGCAATGTTTGTTTTGATTCGCTATGAAAGTTTGACAGACAAAATGAGGGGTTATTGGTTTTTCCTATGTTTTGAGGGGTGAATCGATTAGCTTGGGACCGAAGAGAGTACCAGAGCTGAGCCAAAAAGTTGAGCACGTTATTTTGGGACCTTCTAGTCTTAGAGTTACCTCTATGGTAGAACTACGTGGTCTTGTTTAATAAATCTTACTTGTTAACTGCAGCAAGGGGCTTATGTTTTTTTTTTAATAAACACCGTTTGGTGAGACCGGATGGAATTCAACTTTGAAATCTGTGTTAGGGAAATCGCTTGTCGCAGGCAATCGGTGATTATTTTAATTATCATAGCAACAGTTGCACGTTCGTGCAATTTTCAATAGTGACATTTTGAATAATTATGAAATCTTAAATTTAACAGAAATTCCTATCGATTGGCGTATAAAAAATTAAAATCCATCATCACTGGATCAAAATCAGACTACTTTCATACCGCAACCGACTTTGGTTTTGGAAATTGCAACTCCAATGTTGCCTTAAAGTACATGGTATGTTAGATTTAAACATATCTAGAAAGAGCTGGAATTAGGAGTAACAGCTTTTGTAAACAATGACTTCTCTCGATGATTTTTAGGAATTCAAGGCACGTCCACGCAAACCAACAGTACCATCGGGTAGAGTAAGTCCGAGAGTAAGTCTTACCCTACCTGATGGTGATGTTGATTTGCTTGGGCGAGCCTTGACTTTCAAGACATCCTTGAAGTTAGTCATTGTTTACAAAAGCTGATATGCCCTAATTCCAGCACTATCTTGATATGGGAACTGACATCCGATTGATGACCTTGACATATGTCCAAAAATACTCTTTTACAAATGTATGGTGTTCCTGCAAAAGACCGTTTTGTCGTGATGGTTGCGTAATGCTGAGCTATTAGGGTGTAAAACACAGATGAGGCTGGAGAGCTGCATGTTGTTTGGAATGAAAGTGACGCGCTTGGCATAGATGGCCCACATCGACTGACGATCAATAGCGGTGCGGTTTTTTCCTCCTTATATGGATGCTCATGTGGGCTACACCTCGCTGCTTGCAACGGTTGAGGCCAGCCTTGATTCGTGCAATTTTCAATAGGGACATTTTGAAAAATTATAAAGTCTTCAATTTAACAGTAGGAATTTTTCTGATCTATTGGTGAAAAAATAATTGAAATTGGTGCAGGGGCAGCTGAGCTATTATCGCTCAAAATCTTTCGAAATTTTGTTACATGTTCCATTTTCGGTCTTCACAAAGTGTACCCTCATATAGAAATCACAGACGTAGTCCTACGTCAAAAGCACTCCAGAATACAACATTCATAATTTTTGAGTGCGGATGAATTCTTTAATACAATCGATGTAAATATTTACATTATTTGACAAATCTCAGGTCGTCATCATTCATATTGTTTTCAATAATCAAACGTCATGATTATCTGGGTTTTGTCAAAAAAGGTAAATATTTACTTTGTTTGTACCAAAGAATATCATTTCTCGATGAACATTTCAAATGGTCCTATCTGCTTTGATCGATTCTCTTCATCGACTTTCTCTTTTGATATCCTCGCCTAAGCAAATGCATTTGGTACTATTTTTGCCACACAGTTTGATAGCAGAAGTTCTTATCTTGTGCTTAGAACGTTGAACACAGCAGGGAATGCTTTTGAAGTTGAGTTATTAATGGAAGAGAAAGTCGATGAAGAGAATCGGTCAATGTAGATAGGACCTATTTGAATTTTTTATCTAGATTTCATTTATAGTATCGATTTTACTCCTTTTTGGATTTCGAGTGTAGCTCCTATTGAAATATTTCATAGATTCGACCTCTCGTGTTCGACAGCTAAAACAGAATCCATCTCCTCAATATGCGAAAATTTAACCGAGGCCATGTAATGTAAATAGGTGTGCCAGTATGAATTTGTTGTTTCTTTCATTCTCCCGCTGTTTAAACGGTTCACGGAGTGTGACGTCTCTCGATCATCCATTTAAACAGCGAAGGAACAAAAGAGATAATAAATTCTCTGGACCTCACCTGTTTAGGCACATTGGAAGCGGATAGCGCTTCATAAATTTTTATGCTGCATTGTTTATATCAGGTTATAATCACGTTTTTCGCAATCATCACTATTTTTACAGAATTGACCGCTAACAATTTGTTAAACATTACGTATTGTGATTATTCCATATTCTAGGATGCTGGATACCCATATTGTCAGTGCTGTGGCCGTTGTGGTGTCCTTTCTCGCCGGATACACATTCGGCAACAAGATCACTGGCAAGGATGCCGGTAAAGGCGGTGGTGATGCGTCGAAGACGACAGCATCCAAAAAGGAGGAGGAAAATGTAAGTCCAATATCCTCTACTGGCAATAATTAAAAACTAACTTGACGTTCTTCTACGGTTCAAGATTTTCTCCGACTTTGGCGGCGAGTACAAGATGATCCTGGTGGTCAGGAACGATCTCAAAATGGGCAAGGGAAAAATCGCAGCCCAGTGTGGCCATGCGGCTGTGGGCGCTTTCGAGGGAGCATTGAAAAAGACACCGTCCGTGTTGCGAAAGTGGCAGCACACCGGTCAGGCCAAGATTGCCGTCAAGGTCGAGAACGAACAGCAGCTAATGGAGGTCTATCGCACCGCCAAGGCAAACAATCTGAACTGCTGCCTGATCCGCGATGCCGGCAGGACTCAGATTGAACCGAACAGCAAAACCGTGCTGGCGATCGGACCAGCACCCAATCAGGTGATCGATATGATTACGGGTCATCTGAAGCTGCTGTAAGCGGAAGGCGCGATTGATCAGTGTATTTCGAATATAATGCCAAACGAAGACCTGTCTCGTTCAAATTGAAAGAAAAAGACCAAAGTTTATTTGTTGGTAGACGTAGAACTTTATCAAAGGCTTATAAAACATGAAGGTTAAGTAGCTAGATATATATTAGTACTAAAAACTAGTTTAGAACCAGAGACCTCCTCCATCGTCATTATCATCATTCTCGTTTGCGTTGCTAAATATATCCATTTGCAAATTATTCTGTTCGTCATCACTATCGGAGATAGCCAGATCCTTATGCAGCGACTGCAGAGGTGGCAGGACCGACGGTTGTTCCGCTTGTTCTTGCTGTTGGCCTTCCACTGCCAGGATCTGTTGGTCTTCAAATTGCGATGGTTGCTGCTGGAACTGTTGAAAATTTGGATCGAAGGCGCTTCCTTGCTGATACGTAAACTGGCTAGGGTTTGCTCCAGTTTGCCCCGTACTTTCCGTGCCCAGCTGCCGGTTAGACATGCCGAGAAAATCACTCGGATCGTAGTTAGGGTCGATCTCCATTGATTCTTCCGCAGTTTGATAAAACTGGGACTGCGCGCCACTGAGTTGGACCATAGCTTCTGCTGCCTGTTGGCTATCTCCTTCCTGTGGTGGCATCATAGACGAATTCGATTGAGCATTCGACTGGTCAAGAGTAACCGATACCCCTTCATTGTCGCTCATGGTGACTTCTTCGAACTCTTCGTCATCGGTCGAATACTGGCCACCTATGTATATATCAGAGGAAGATGTCAAGAATTAGCCTATGGGGTTCAGTCTACTACTACCGAGCGAGACAAACGAGATGAAATCCGAATAGACAACATCATGAAACGGTGCGCTTGCTATTCTACGGATGAATTCATGCAGCAGATCTACAGGAAATTCGAACTTCTACTCTAAGAAAACTACATCTACCCCTTCGAACTTACCTTGCTTGATTCGCCCAAAAAGCCCCGAATCCCCAAGGAATCTTCCACCTCTGGTAGTAGTGCTATCTCGCCAGAACGAATTGTTAGTACCCGTTAGCTTGGTCCCATCCACCGCCGACGTGCCCGCATTGACCATCCAGTTCATTTCGAAGGCCGAAGCAGACGGATCGGTAGCCAGTAGCGGTGTGGAAGAACTCGACGGTATGCCTTCATACCCGCCGAGATCCCGCCCAGGTCCACCGCTGCCGTAGCCTCCGGAACCGCCGGGGCCGCCACGCACATTGTGGCTGCTGCTGTGAGTGGTTGTGGTGCTGTCCATGTCGTCGTGTTCCTTCCGCGGGCGACCGCGGGAACGCTTGAGCAGCATCCTGTTCATCATCTGTGACATCATCATGCCAGGAAATTCTAGGTAGTAGTAGGACAATACGGCGAGATAGTGAGGATAGATTGGTTTTCATTGGTCTTGTGCATTCGACGAAGAAGAAGGAGAAGAAGAAGCACTCACACGCACAGGCAAGACATATGGAAATCACTGTTTGGTGGTGGTTTAGTTCAAGCTGGACACGTTTCGAGGGTTAGATGTAGGACAGGCTCATGTTAGAGACGCTAGCTAAGGGGAAAGGCAGATGCTTGATGATGGATGTGTTTTAAACATTATGCAAACAGAATACCATAGTTACTCGGTCCGGAAGCAGCTTAACCCTTTCCTTCAAATATAGTCAAGATTCCTATAGTACGGTTAATAAATAGGGACCGCACAATACGAACCGGTATTAACGAATACATGTGGGATTAGAGCTAATTGGGGACAAACACTTATTGTAGGGTAATTTGAAGAGATGACTTCCTGGTGTCTTCTGGAAAGTTATTGACAAGATAGACCTTCTTTTGGAACAATTTTGCATCCGGAAAATCAGAACTCTGGTCCTTCGGAAGACCCGGAACATCCGTAAAAGTGGTCAATTCATGAAACTGATCCTAGAGCTCCATGTTTTTTTTTTCGAAACCGCTCATAGACGTCTTGTTACAATTAATTCGGTATTTTCTACGGAAAATGAACCCTGGGGACCACGGGATGGTTCACCGGAAGATCCGTAACATCCATAAAAGTGGTCAATTCATGAAACTGATCCTAGAGCTACGTAGATTTTTCTAAACCACTCATAGACGTTTTATCAGAATGAATTCTGCCTATGACCGCAATATGGACGCTGGGGACTACGGGATGGTCCACTAGAAGATCCGGAACATCCGTAAAAGTGGTAAATTAATAAAACTGATCCAAAAAATTCCCTTTTTTTTCGAAACCTCTCATAGAAATCTTATCATAATTAAAGTGAAATTATTACCTGAATTTGGTCACTGGAAGCCACGAGGTGGTCCACTAAAACATCCGGAACATCCGTAACAGTGGTCAATTTATTAAACTGATCCTAGAGCTACGCGTTTTTTTCAAAACTACTCATAGAGGTCTTATCAGAATTAATTCAAAGTTGTGACGAGAATATAGACCCTGATGACTACGGGATGGTCCATCGGAAGATCTGGAACATCCGTAAAAGTGGTCAATTCATGAAACTGATCCTAGAGCTCCACGGTTTTATTTTCAAAACCATTCATTGACATTCTATCAATATGAATTCGGAGTTGTGATTGGAAAATCGACCCTTGGATCCACAAAATGGCCCTCCAGAGGGTTCAAATCATTATTATTATTATTATTTATCTTTATTAGGGAGGCTTTCAGCCTTGGGCTGGTTCGCCTCCAATCGGTCCAAATCATCCCTAAAAGAGGTAAATTCATGAAACTGATCCTAAAGCTCTTCTGATTTTTCGAAATCACTCATAGATGATTTGGAAAATTGACCCTTGGGACCACGAGACGGACCAGGAAGATCCGGAACATCCATAAAAATGTTCAGTTCTTTAAACTTATAATATACTTGAGAGTAGGTAATTTTTTTGCTGGTGTTAAATAGAAACCACAGACAAACAGACATAACACTCGCAAGTTGTTCATCGAACAAGCATTTAACGGTCAATTCAAAAGTATCGTAGTTGGTAGTACCGCCACCTGTGGCGCGCATAGTCATTTCCCTTGAGTTTGACGTTTACACACTACCGCCATCTGTTCAGCGTACTACCCACCACAGTGTACTCAACAGATGGCGGTAATGTTTTAGCGACGATGTTTTACAGTGATAAATATTCAATGTGTTATGTCTGTTTGTCTGTGTAGAAACTACTATATGCGATTTACTCAAATTTGGGTTATTGGGCTGAACCCCGGAATTGAGGGAAAAGTACTTAATTTTGGGTAGTTTTTCATCTCCGTGAAAACAAACATAGTGTAGTACTGGAATTTATACTAGAATGGGGTACGTTAGTCGATTTGCTTGGGACCAATAGGCTAGTCAAGTAGTGAGCCAATTTAAAATCGTTAGTTTCGTATTGATTGTTGTTAATAGTACGTTCAGACTACAGAGTTATAACATGTTATAGCGCTATCTTGATGGCGGTTTCTGTTATTTGACATCCGTTATAACATCTTATAATTCTCCAGTCTGGACAGCGTTATGAACGAAGCATGAGAGTTCATGTTACTTAAATTCGCGAAATCGTAGGTCCCTCATAAAATGAGTAAATTTTCCGACGCTTTTCCGAGGAAAACTTCTCGAATATGAGGAGAACTGATTGTGGTTTTAGTCTGTTTTCTAGTACAATTCTAACCTGTGTACAATTTTTCCCAGGAAAGTGTCGGCAAATTTATTCAAACTATGAGTGACCTACGTTTTAGCGATTTTCAGTAATCTGAAATCAGAAAAAAAAACATATCACGCCGCCGCCGAAAATATTTTGATCGGCGCACAGGTCTACACTCTAGAACCTACATTTCGTATTTAGATCTATAAGCGAACTGCTGGTCTGAGTTTCTGTGGTATATTCAATAAGAGGATGTTGCAGAAATAAACAGTCAAACAGCACGTAATGTTGCGAACAACTTCAATGACAGCTGTTCAGCAGTGCTTCCATTTAATTTAAAACGTCCAATACCTACGAGATTGTGCCGAAGGTGTGCCGATTGATGTGCCCAAGTTGTGCCACTCAGTCTTTCTATGAAGCACTCAAACGTAGAAGATAGTGCGACCTCAGTCATCGAGCAAGCGTGCACCGCATATTTGGCTACGTCATACCCGAACAACGTTGTAGATGGAGATATTCTCTGCTTTTGGAAAATTAACAGCCTTGGTTCGCAAGGTATTGTGTGTGTGTGTGTGTGTGCCAAGTGAACGAGTTTTTAACATACATAGCTGGGCCGATCGTATCTGCACCCGGTCAGGCATCCACCCTAACAATGTGCATAACATAGCTCGGCAAACTGAATGTGGTCTTAGTCTGTCCACTAGTGCACTTCTAACCTGTGTACAATTTTCTTAAATTTTCCCCATTTCAAGAAGTTTTCCCCGGGAAAGTGTCGCAAAATTTATTCATACTATGAGTGACGTACGTTTTAGCGATTTTGAGCAATCTGAACTCAAATGTGGGTAGCATTTTTTGAACATGTGCGATTAGTTTGAAAAGTAAAACATTAAAAATAAACTCACACCGACCCACGCCACCACCGCCGAAAGCAAACGGCGTGACGCCGCTACGCCGCCGCCGCCGGAAGAAAATAACATATCACGCCGCCGCCGAAAATATTTGCCTTATGAAAAATAATGTCGACAAAAAAATAATTAAACGGAGCAGCCTGGAACCATAGAGGTAGCTCTAAGACAAGTAGGTCCCGAAGAAACGTGCTCAAATTTTTGGCTCAGCTCTGATACTCCCCCTTATTATGCGCCACGAGTGAGGTGCGGTGACTCGCTGTCACTAGTGAGGTGACAAAAGTCACCGCGAGTGAGGTGACTCTCTGTGGAAATCAAATGGAGAGTCAACTCACTCGCGGTGACTATTGACACCTCACAAGTGACAGCGAGTCACCTCACCTCACTCGCGGCGCAGAATAAGGGGGACTATCTTCGGTCCCAAGCTAATCGATTCACCCCTCGAAACATAGGAAAATCCACTAACCCCTCATTTTATCTGTCAAACTTTCATAGCGAATCAAAACAAACATTGTGTAGTACTAGAATTTTGACTAAAATGGGGTACGTTAATCGATTTGCTAGGGACCAATAGGCTAGTCAAGTAGTGAGCCAATTTAAAATCGTTAGTTTCGTATTGATTGTTGCTGGAACCGAACCATGGAAGTTGAGATTACGGGTCCTGTGTTTAGACCACTCACCTGTCAACGCTTATGGGTAAAAAGAATGGCTAAAGGCGTATAAGAGCTACCTTATGTTAGACGAATATCTTTCATAAATCGCGCTTATGAAATTCATATGTCTCGTTCATAAGACGAGCCTTATGAAATTCTTAAGTCTATCTGCCTCAGTGTAGTACGTCAGAAGCTTCCTTTTTTATGGCACAGACCTGTTGGTCCATATTTGACGCGTCAATATCTGTCATGATTACCTGAGTTTTGTCAAAAAATGTAATTATTTATGCTATGTGCAGCGAAGAATGGCCATACGTTTCAAGTATAATAGCAGCCGGCGTCGGTGGTGTAGTGGTAAGCGTGACTACTTTCTAACACCCCAATGGGCCTGGGTTCAATCCCAGCCGAGGTCGGTGGGATTTTTCTGAGGCATAAAAATCTCTGGTTACGTCTTCCTTCGGAAGGGAAGTAAAGCTGTTGGTCCCGGCCCATGTGTGTTGAATGGGTGCGATATCCTACGCAGGTGTGGAAGCTGCCTACCTGCACATTCGATTGCCGTCAATGGATGGCAATCGATGTCTGTCGGTGATTGGCACTAGATTGAGGAACAGAGACCGACGTTAAATAAAGGAAAGAAGAAGAAAGAAGTATAATAGCTATATTTATAGACTGGCGGATAGAATTTCGATCTATCAGAAAGCGGAACCAATTCAATATATTGTAGGTCAACAATTGAAAAGGTACTATCAGCTTTTATAAACAAAATGTTGATTATTCTTTCCACGCCAATCGAATGCAAATTACTAGCATCATCAGATAGGGAACAAAATTTCCCCAACCCAAAGATGGTGTTAGTTTGCGTAGGCGAGCCTTGAGTCACGAGAAAATGGTTTCTGAAGTTTTGTTCACAATAGCTGATGTGCTCTTTTCTGTTGTTGATCGTGATTTGCTCGATTGGTTCCGCTATTTGACAGCTCAATTGGTTCCCGAGATTCTATCCACCAGACTATGAATATAGAGAGGGTCTAGTATAAGAGAGGAGCGGATTAAAAAAATTAAATTGTTGTGTCCTAGACACGACCGCAGTATGACGTAGAACCTATCTATCTCAATCTATGATGCATGATATGCATTGTGGTGGACA